AATATATATTCAATATAGAATATATAGTCAATATAGAATATATAGTCAATATAGAGTATATAGTCAATATAGAATATATATTCAATATAGAATAAATAGTCAATATAGAATAAATATTCAATATAGAATAAATAGTCAATATAGAATAAATAGTCAATATAGAATATATAGTCAATATAGAATATATGTCCTGTTGTCCTTATATCTTGTGGGTGCATGGGGCAGAGAGAGCAGGACTGATGAATAAACTGAAAACACTTCCAGTTCCTGTTTCCTGGTGCTTTGGGCTGTAGGACAGTACATGAGACCTTGAGCATTTTTCTCTTTGTTGATTTTCCTGCCCCTGAGGGCCATGAAAGGCTGAAGATTTCCTGGCTGGCCCAGATTGCTCCTCTGATGTGGGCTGAGGTTTCTCCTGGGTGTAAAGCCCAGCTGGAGGGAGAGGAGCAGCAGAGGCAGCTCTCAGAGAGCCCAGCAGCCCTGGTTTCCAGGAGCTGGGTGCTCAGAACACTCAGAGGCCAGAAATAATAAACACCTGCTGAGGGAAAATGTCAAAATGTTCCTTCCTGGCTTTTAAGAAAACAAATTCTGAAGGCTGGAGAGAACCTGCCCAAAATCAACATGACAAGTAAATTAACAGCTCAATTAGCCAAGTGCCTTACATGAACAAGGACAGCTCTCCATGGCACAGAAGGAAATTAAAGCCCCTAGCAGAATGGGATTTTATGTTGCATTCAGGCCCACTCAGGAGTATATTGAGACCCCAAGAGGGGATTTTCTGTTAAACTGGAGCAGACAAAGCAGGTTCCTCTGTTCCTTTCCCTGCCATTGCCTTTGGGAGGTGCAGGAGGGCAAACTGAGGAGCTGTAGCACAGGCTCCTGCTCTTGCTCCGGTCCTTTAGCGACCAAATTAAGCTGACAGCACCCTCAGACAGGTCAGAGCAGGTACAAGGACACTGCAGGGTCAGTGGGAATGGTGTGGAACAGAATAATGAAATTCAGGGGTCTCCAGATGAGCCTCAGTGATTGCCATAACCACAAATCACATAGCCCTGTCACTGCTGTGTCCTGCAGGAGAGAGACAGGCACTGGAATGATCAAACAGGGGTTTTCCACAGCAAAATTCTCTTGTTCTGCTTCCTTTGAAAAGGACTGTAGGTATAGCATTATTTCCACCTTTGCAGAAATATTTTATCTTAAAAAGAGTCCTATTAAATAGTCTCCAGCTGGGATTGGCTTACAGAGGGGCGTTATCTGAGCACTCCAGAGGGCTCTGAAAATAGAAGAGGGAAAATGCTTCAATGAGAGAGAAAATATATGTCTGCTCATAAAGGTTAATGTGAAATGTCCCTGTGTGCTGGAGACACAGAGAATTGTGGCTATTGAATTCATTTTCTCACTAAAAATATTCCAGTCAATTCCAAATAATCTCCTCTCCTCACTTGTGTTTCCAAAAGCCTTCTAAAGATTTTATCTTTGAAACCAACTTTCTTTCCATCTTCTGCTTTATCATCTTTCCTTTTGGGGTCAGTTTTTCTTTCTTAGTTTCTTTCTTTGCCAGGCTGCTTCACATGGAACCATTGCTGTGTCTTCTACTGAAAACACACATTGCTTATAGAGGCATCTCCAAGTATGAACCAGCTCCTGAATGAGGAGTTCATTTTGAGGAACTGTGTGTTGAGAACTTCTATTTTCATGTGTTTTCAAGCTTGGGGATCCCTAACTGATCCCTGACCATGTCAGTGTCCAAAGAGATTATTGCAAGCACCTAGAGAAAAGTTAAATGCTCATTTAGAGGTTCTGATTGTGTCCTCTGAATTCAGCTGCCTCTCCCCTCTACTCCAAAGGGAATAAAAGCTGGGCAGGAAGGTGATCCAGCCTGTGCCATCATGTCCAGGTGTACAGGAACTCTGGATGTCCTTCCCTTTATCACTGGGCAGCCAGCAAATACAGAAAATACTGATTTCTTTAAAGTCTTCCTCAGGCAAAGCTTGATGACTGAAGAAAACAAAACCCATCATCACTCTACATTCTTTAGCTAACCTCAAAAACCACTTCCTCATGTAGGATTCTGCTCCAGGAGCTGCATCAAAGAGGAGATTGCAGCTCCAGAGCAATCCCACCCATGGGGATGGCCCTTTGGCAGTCTGAGCCTGAAGTTAATCCACAACTGTCACACAGAAAAAAGGGGGGGAAAATGCAACCACACTGCAGTGATGTGCTGCCAATGCCAGAGCAGCATACATCCCTTTTAGGGGTCATTTTTAGGGATCGCTTCTTCCCTTTTAGGGACCATTTTCTTCCCTTTTAGGGATCATTTCTTCCCTTTTAGGGTTCATTTTTAGAGACCATTCCTTCCCCTTTAGGGATCATTCCTTCCCTTTCAGGGACCATTTCTTCCCTTTTAGGGATCATTCCTTCCCTTTCAGGGACCATTTTTTCCATTTTAGGGACCATTTCTTCCCTTTTAGGGATCATTCCTTCCCTTTCAGGGACCATTTTTTCCATTTTAGGGACCATTTCTTCCCTTTTAGGGATCATTTCTTCCCTTTCAGAGACCATTTTTTCCATTTTAAGGACCATTTCTTCCCTTTTAGGGATCATTCCTTCCCTTTCAGAGACCATTTTTTCCATTTTAAGGACCATTTCTTCCCTTTTAGGGATCATTCCCTCCTGAGCTCACCATCTTGTACATCCTGGCCTGGTCCCCTTGCAGACACCATTTCCACTAAATAGATCCCCACATTCTGCACTCCCTGCTTGCAAACCAGTTCAGCACCCCTGGCCTGTGCTCCAGATTAATCAGAGCGTGTTTTTAGCCAGAATATCAGGGGAGCTAAATGGCACTGCCATGGATCTTTGATTCTCTGGGCTTTTATTAATGATGGTGACACCAAATGCACCTTCTGGTGTGAGGGGAGCTGCAGGAAAGATAATGTTATTTCTGAATCAAATTATCCTTCTTCTTTATACTTAATTTAGAACACAATCTTGCTGGAGGCTGAAAAGCTTTGGCTTCAGTTTGCACAGACACATCATATGTGTCTGCCTGTCCAAATATTTTACCCTTACATTTTACAGCAATATCAGGGCCTATAAAAATGATGGCAAAAAGCCTATTGATTTCATCTGAACAGGAGCCAGCAGAAGCTGATTTTACCTGGACAGTGTTCTCTAACAGATGTAGCTCAGTAATAATTCATGTTCTTGAATCCAACATAGAGCTATGAATGCACAATAAACAAAAAAATCACAGTTCTGAGTCTGTTACTTTCCTCTCTGTTCAATCAACAGGAACAGAGAGAAGGAGCAGATGACTTGTAATAAAAGATTTTAGCCATTTCTTCTGCACTTCTTTGCTGAAATGAAATGATCTTTCACTCTCCAGAGTGAGAGGGTAACACAGCGCCCTGTTACTATTTATGAGACATTTTCTTTGGTGATGCTTTCACCACACCACATTTGTAACAGCTGAAAAATAACCTGGACAGGAAAGCCTGGAGGAGTAAAAATGTTGTTGTTCTGTAGGAAAGGAGAGTGAGGTACAATTTCAGAGCTTATCTCAGATGATGCCAGCAGAGGAGATGTGGCTGTAATTTCCTTGCATGAAATAATTTGCAGAGGCACATTAATTAGTGTGAGTGTGTGAGGAGACAGACAGGAGCTCTCCAGTTCTGTCCTGGAAAATACCAGAGGTCCCTGGGAGAATCTGGAGGAGAATTTTCAGGGTTCCATGGAGGTTTACCCCAAATCCATCTCATGCCCCAGTCAGCCTCACACATCAGGCTGCTGAATGGGAGCTCTCTGTCCCCTCAGTGTTGAGTGAACACAAACTGGGGATGGTTTTTTCCTCCTTTCCCTTGGAACAGAGTGGAAGGGCAGATCTGCCTGTGGGTTTAAATCCTGAATTTCAGTATTTGGTTTCTATGATTTGTCTGTCTATGATTTGTATTGGTCTGTCATGCTTAGAACATGAAAATTGCTCTGTTTAATGAGAAAGTGGACTCTCTATTCCAGCTCCCAAAGCCCTGATTCCATCTAGACCCCATTTCCCTCACAAAGAACCTTTCAAAAGCAAAGAATTTCAAAAATCACTGCTATGAGTGGTTCAAGAATCTACACAGTAAAGAAGTCCCAAAATGAGCTGTCCTCATTGCAGATTTTTTTTGTTAGCTTGAATTTCTTGCTCCAGAAATGGGTCAATATTCACACACACACACAAAAGATCTTTTGTTTTCCCAAGTATGTGTGAATTTTGTGGAATTCTTTTAGGATACAGAAAAGCATATCTTTATTTTCAACATCTAACATGCCAGAACCAGTTGCTTTGAAAACATCCTCTCCTCTAACGTGGTTCTCATTAGGAGAATGCACTCCCAAACTGAAATCAGTGCCAGTTTTCAGAAAGCAATCCAGTGTGTTCTTGCCTTGACATCTGTTGGTATAAATAATGTAGTAAAATGGGAATTTGGAAGAATTATTGTGTATATTTGAGAAGATTTGTAACTGGGTGGTGATTCTGACAACCTGCTGCTGCAGGCAGAGCTGCACTCAGATATTGAAGCCAGCAAAAAGGAACACTGTGATCATTGCTGGATCACTCTTGCAGCTCAGATTTACAAGTTGCAAGCAAATAAAAAAAAGAAATGTCAGACTGGCATGGCAGTGTCACCAGAAGCAGCCTTGGGAGCAGTTAAGCCTGGAAAGGAAGTTTGCAGTGAAAGCTCTGTTGTTTTTTGTTGGGATTTACATTTCCAATCAAAAATCCAGGAGGATTTTGGCCTGTGGGGGATGTTTACAAGCTGGTGAAAGCAGAATGGGGACTTGCTCCACTAAGCAGGTTTTAAACTCACAAAAAATATCCTTGTAGAATGGAAAGCTGAGAGCTGTGCACTGATATTAGGGATATTTGCATTACCAGGGCAATATTTAATTGTCAGTTACCCTAAGTGGACCCTTCTGAGCTTAGTTTGACATTTATTCATTATCACTTTGCACAGGATTTGCCATGCAGAGTAACCAGTGAGCACCTGCTGTGCTGCCCAGGGGATGGGTGAGTAACTCTAATTCTTTCTGCAGAGATCAACTTGCTGGGAGCACTTTAAAGCCTTGAATGGAAAAGTCAGAGCATTTAGCAAACATTTCACTGCTTTTACTTCAGTTTTTGAGCACTGTGCCCTCCTGCCTTGTCCTGTTTGTGGTGTCTGGAGCAGGAGTGCAGCAAGAACCCCTCACCAGCTCTACAGAGCCTGGAGTGGCTGCTCTGCTTTGTGCCTCTGTTGAGTGAAGGATTTGTTATTTCTTGCTCAGATGCTTTCACTTTCTGTTCCTGTGCTGAGAGGGGCACTCAGTGATGTGCAGGCAGGTTCTGAGCTGTTTGTCTGGGCTGCCAGGAGGGCAGAGCTGACCAGTTCCATACCTTGTTTTAATCTGTCACAGCTCTTTCCCAGCACATCTTGCAGATTCTTTTCTACATTTTGGTCCAACATGCACTAAAATCAAACTTTCTTGGTTTCTTGCCTGGTTTACATTTAAGGGGATGAGCTTGTGCTGGTTTATTTTAATACAACATCAGTTCTAAAATACTTTTTCCACTGGAAGACTCCAGCTTTTCTGGCTGTGCTGAAAGTAGCATTTGGTATAAGCCATAAACCCTGCTGCAAACGATTTAATCTATTCAAAATGAGGCTGGAAAGGAAAAAGAGCAGTACAGCAAACAAAGGCTTGTGTGTTCTTGTTTAAGGCTGGGAATCCCATGGCTCTGAGAGATGAGTTTTGCCCTTGGAGCCCTCTAACAATTTAAGACATTTTTATTCCAGCTGTTTGCCCAGCCTGGAGCAGAGCTGCCTCACCGCTGAAAATGCATCTGAGCTCTGTGAAAATGCACTTTGAATCATCTCTTGTGTTATTGCACCTGAGACAGGAAGCTGCTTCAAGTTCATAAGGGAGCTGAGATCAAATTTAATCATCTGTGCACTGCAGACAATTGTATTTCCCATTTGCTAAATCCAATTGTTGGTGTTTCATTCAAGCATCTACTGAAGAGAGTTCTTGCTTTGCCTTGTAGTGAAAAGGTGAATCAGTCAATTGTTTTATTTCTTCCAGAGGTTAATCATCTTTCCTTATAAACTGTTTGTGTCTACTTTGATGTTTCAGTCAATGTGTCTTCAGCCTTTTGCCACTGGTTCTTGGTCTGTCCTGCCAGACACCAGTTCAGCCCCCAGTAAAATTCATCTTCTCTCTTCACCCCCAGCCTGGGTCCCAGTTACAGCCTGGTGTCCCATCCCAGCAGGTTTAATTGGGTAAAATTGTGAGTTGAATCTCCTCTACGTCCCAGGTCAGTGATTCTCAGAATATTCCACCCCATTCATTGCAATTAAATCAGCAGCCAGGGCAAAAAGTGCTCAATTTATGCCTGACTCCTCTGTGCACCCTGTGATAATCCTCAGCTAAACTGATCATGAGATTGTGCTGCTTAAAGCCAGTGTTTATCTTTGCAAGCACTTAAGGCATTAAGTGTCAGTATGAGAGGAAAATGAAACGTTGGCAGAGTTTTTGGAAACAAACATCAACTGGAATATTAAGAGGCTTGATGCAAGGAGCAGATTTATGGTTTCATCTGACAGGTTTGGGTCTTAAATAAGGGAGATAAAGATAATAAATGTTGTAGCATGTTTGATTTACAGCTCTGATGTGAGATAAGTTGGCTGCTCTGTACAGATCACAAATGAGATTCCCTATCAAATCACTCCATAGCTGTAACTACTTAAACAAATACAATATTTTCACATTAAGTGAGAATCCAGAAGTGGGATCGTCCAGAAACTTTGTGTTTTAGAAGGGAGATACAGCCAGATGCAAGATTCTTCCTGGAAAACAGCTTAAAAGAGGAGGAAAGTGCTGATTTCTGCCCTAAAAACTAGTTTTGTTATTGAGCCCAAGAAGTTTTTCATCAACCCTGTCATTCCAACTGAACTAAAAGTGTTAGGGGAAAAAAAGGCAAATAATTCTCAAACAGAATATGGTATCTGGGGACAGCCAGCACATGGATATGGAAAACAGCTGCTGGTCTGGATTGTACAGGGAATTTTGATATGGGCACTGCAAAATAGACAAAGTCACTTTGCATCTAGAAAAGAGAACAGTGCTTCTCTTACTCTTACCAGGTGTCTCTAATAGCCCACAGAATTTGTGATTTTGTGACAAGAATCTGTTTTAGGACCAGGAGTTATGGTTCTTGCCTGAAAAAATACTGGGAATTTTTGCATAAAACTTTAGGGACTTTTGCAGGATTGTTACTCTCAAGAATTGTAACAGCTTTTAGTTTTATCTTGGTTCGGAGCTCAGCAAAATTGAAATACTGACATTTGAGGTTAAATACACTTCTGGTGCTCTTTGTTATGGTAACACCCCCTTCACTGCTGCTTCAAGAAGAGAGCTGAAAATTCACACTTTGCCACAGCACACTTTAAATCTTGTCTGAGCCCCGTATTCTGTAGCCAGATTTCATTGAACTTTCCTCACGTGGAACTGTTCTTGGCTCGCAGTAACCCAGCAATCCCGGTGAGGAGTTCACACCTTTGCTCGGGGCTGATCTCACCACAGCTCCTTTGCTCTCACAGTCTCGCCCTGCTGAGGACACCCCTGAGAGCTCCTGCAGTCCTGATTTTGGCAAAACACTTCTTCCCACGAAAACCAGCATCATCCTTCAGTGGGACGAGATTCAACTCTTATTATTTTTAAATCATGTCACTAATCTACTCATTGGAGCCTTGCCCTGGTGTAATAAAACCAAGTTGAAATTGCTGAAGGGCTCAGCTGCTGCCTCCAGCAGCTGCCTGGCTGTAATTTGCCAATAGGATGTATTACATCCTGATTACAGCTTCTTTTGAGTGATAGGCCAAAATTACAAGGCCGAAATGTGGCTAATCATGATAAAGGAGATAAGTCTATTCATCTCCTGCCTGCATTTAATATTTGCACAGCAGATGCTGTTTGTTCCCTTCAGCTTCATTTCCACAGAAATTTGCTCTCATTCTGAGGAAGTCGTGAGGTTAATGAAAATCTTTATTGGACATTTTGATGGTGGAGAGAGGGAGGAAGGTGGAATATCTTGGAAGGTTTCTCTTTGTTTCCCAGCCCAGATATACTTACACAAATCAAGCAGTCCTTGAAAGAAAAGCAAAGTGAGCAACTCCAGGCCAGAAACAATTTTTAGGAGGAATTTCTTCACTGAAAGGGTTTTCAGGCACTGGAAGTGATGGAATCACCATGCCTGGAATTGTTCAATAAACAACAGGAGATGGCTCTCAGTGCTCTGGTTTTGGTGACATGGTATTGTTGGGCAAAAGGTTGGACCTGATGATCTTGGAAGTCTTTTCCAACCTTAATGATTCTGTGATTCCAAACTTCCTAAAACACTCTGGGAACTCCTGATGAGCAGTGTTGTAGCAAAAATAGGCATTATTAATTCCTTCTTTGTCTCCACCACTGTGGGTGAAAATACAACCCACAGCAGAGTCCCTGATGCATCAGATCAGAGCAGCCACTCACAGGCACTCAGCTCCCCTGGGGTCCCAGAACAGAGACAAATTCCAATTTATTTTCTGTTCTTGTGATATGCCAAGCATGAGACCCCAAACACAGCACAGATAATTGATCTCAAGCTTTTGCTCTTCACATCCCAGCCTTTCTGCTGCTCCATTTTTGCCAGTTGTTCCTTGCATGATTATCTGTAAGCACAGAAAGAGAATGCCTGCAAACACTGTAGTGTAAATATTTTCCAGCCTAGTGGGTGCAGACCCCAGAGATGTGTTTTAGGCTGCAGGACAGATTGTGAGTTAGGCCAGGCTTGTCAGCCCCTGGACCAGCTGAGCTGCTCCCACCACCAGTGTAAGGGTTTGACACAACACCAATAAAGTCACTCTCCTGTGGGAAATGAAAACCATTCCTACACTGAAATATAATCAGCATTCTAGAAACAAAGTCATTTAATGGCTAATTCAGATTACTCCTCAGGAATGAGAAGTAAATAAAATGAAACATTTAATTCTGGAAACACATTTTGCCCCAAACTCTCCCAGGCATCCCCCTGGGATGTGCATCCATCAGCTTGGGCTGGGTGTGTTTCAGGACATTCTTTGTGACCAAGATAATCTCCTGTCTGACTGAGGCTTTGACAGGCAGGGGTTTGATTGACTTGGCTGTTGCAGTGCTGCCAGAGGGACAGGACAGGACAGGACTGCACAAACAGGAGCTCCCTGCTGGTTTGCAGCTCTGACCCAGTGAGGCCAGGGGCACAGCAGCAGCAGTGCTCCCCTGCATCTCACCCCAGCTTTTCCCCACAAAGTTCTCCATAGCATCACCAGGGTGGTATCCCTGCACAGCCTGCCCTCAAAGATGAAATTGAGGTTGGAAAAAACCCAACCCCACTGCTTCTCTGCTATTTCACTCATTCATTATGATTTTCTTTTTTTTCCCACAAGGATTTATCTTCATATTACAAATCAGTAATTCCTTCTCATTTTTCTCGTGTGTTACCATGCAAACTTGATATTCCTGTGCTCAGCAGCAGAGTCCATGTGCCTGTGCACCCCAGAGGTTATTCAAAGAGGGAATGTGGGATTTTCCATGTTCTAAGGACTGGATTAAGGATAGCAAAGCAACCAGAGCCAGGGTGATGCCTCCTCTGCCTCCATCCCTGGACCCAGCTTGCCAAAGGCAACACAAGTGCTCCATTTGTCTCGCTGAGATGCCTTGGAAGGCTGAGAAAGCTAATTTGCCTCTGCTGAGCTCTTTCTTGAGCCCTCACCACAGCTGGTGCTGATGAATTTCTAGTGGCGGTGCTGCCAGGCTTCACAACCAGGCAGAGATTTGTGCCACAGGGTGTCAAATTCCAGTTTATCGTGGTCACTGAACCAGCAAGGCAAAGCCTCAGAGCATCACAAGCTCTCTGCAAAGCCCTTTCCCATTAGTGATGCCTGTCCCTGCTGTCAGTCCTGTAAAAAACAACCATTTCCCTTCTTTCAGGGCAAGGTTTAGGAAGTCCTGTCCAGAACTGCAATGCCCCATGTAACCCTGTGCAGGAAGCTGCAAAACTTGTCTGAAAGTGTTGTTCTTGTTCCCAAATCTATTCCTGACCTCTCTACGTTTATTTTCCGTGGCTGTGAAATTCTCTTTGACCTAATTACAATTCCCACTTGGTGTTTTGGCACTGGAAATGGAGGAGCAGAGCTGCTGAACAAAAAAGTGTGTCAGGTGCACGGTGGTCACCTCTGCCTGTCAGAGCAGTGAGGAGCAGACAAGGGCTGGGATCATTTTACATCTAAGCCAGTGTTTAATTCTCCTAATAGCCCCAAGACTGCAGCAGCTCAAAGCTTCCCACCAAGGATTAAGAAACATCCTAAATATGGCTTTGTTGCAGGGATGGTAAAAAGAACAACGGAGTCTCTGAGAATTGTTCTTGAAAAACATTTATTCTGTCATGGATTTACAGCTCTGACTCCCAAGCCCCACAGCCTCTCCCAACAGGTCATTCTGGGCACAGTTACCCTGGATGGAAAAACAAAAGCCATACAAAGGAGCCCCCCAAACAAACAGTTTGGTACCAAAGTGAGCCCAGGTTCTCTCTGTGCTGTTGGAGATTTAACCCCAGCTGGGATGGAGCTGCCCTGCCCCATCCCTTGGGCCCAGCTGGAGGATGTTCCCTGCCAAAGGCCCCAAGCAACTGAAGATGTTGTGTTTAACTGCAGAATAACCAGGGGGGACGGGTAGGGAAGGATTCAGCAGCTGCTGTTTTTTTCAGACATCATTGAAAAAGGACATCTATGCATTTCAGTTTCACCTCCTGAGCCCCAGCATTAGCAAAGTCAGATACAAACCCAGAGACCAACGTATGCAAAATAGTGACCAAGATCCAGACATTTCTAAGCCCCTCAGTTTACTGTGCTGTGACACCTCCAAAAAGCAACAAAACCCACTTTAGGAGTGTGGTGGATCTTATTTTTAAGAGGGAGGGACAGAGATGCAGCACAGAGCATAGCAACTGTCAAGCAATGTTTAAGGCAAATTTATTCCCATTTATCAGGAGTCAAAGAAATGGTTTTGTTTGTTGGCTTTGTTGTTGAAGCTGTTAGATAACATCTCAGCTGGACATTTCTGCTTAGATGATTTAATCAGAGTTTGAGGGAAATCATCTCAAGCTGATCTGAACCTAGGACAGCAAATAATGCTATTCCCAAGAATATCAGTCAGAACAAATTTTTCAAAAATTAAAATAATTGATGTTCAGAACTCCCTCAAAACTTTCTTCCCTCAGAGACCAGGTTGAGCCCAAGTAAAACACACAGACATGAAGAAGGACACAGTGGCAAGCCTCTACAAACACAGGGCTGAGTAGGGCCAAAGCAGAGCCAAACCTAAATTCCACAGGTGTGAAACAGAGTTATGAGTAAAAAAAGGGGGAAAAAGAAAAACAGAGCCCCAGAGAGGAATGTTTAATGAGAAAGAATGGAAAATAAAAGTCCTCTGAATGCAAAAAAGGGAGTTCTTAGGTGCAGCCACAGAAAGCTGGGGAGTTCAGTTGCCTCATCTCTCAGGTGTTAGTTTGTTGTGCCTTTGCCCTCCCTTGGAGATGCAGGTGATGGTGCCAGGAGGTTCCTGCCTTTACTCAGTCTGTGCATCATAATTAGCCCCCCCTGCTTTCTTCAGCTCGTTCTTGATGTAATCCTCATCCAGCTCTTTGTGGTCACTGATCACAAATTCTTTGGCAAAGTTCTGTAAGAGATAAAGAAAAAGCCTGTTAACAAAGAGGGATATTTTCAATTAGCTGATTGAAGACGGGTTATTCAGCTTCCCTGGGTGTCTGAGCTGCATCCCCTGATCTCCTGTGGCTGGGATGATAAATAGCAAGCTGTGGATGAGACAGAGGGCTGGTGAAGGCAAAACCCAACATTTAACCTGGAAAAATGTTATATATCTACTCCCACAGCCACTGGCTGCAGACCCAGTGCAGGGGGGCAGGGGTGCACAGGCCAGGTTAGGTCAAGTTCCCTAAGCAGTATAAGAACTGAAACCCTCAAAATTACTGACCTCCTGACCACCAGTGACCCTCAGCATAATCTTGGCCAAGTCACTAATCCTCTCTGTGCCCTTTTTAGGGCCTCTTCTCCTAAAAAAAGAACAGCACCACACCAGAGAACACTACAGTGTCACACCTGAGAAGGACTGAGCAGCACAGGGATGCTCCCAGGAGCAAACACAAGGCAGACATTGCCCCAGACAGGCTGTGCACAGGCTCTGCCCTGTGCTTTGTGTCCCAAGTGAGCTCCTGGATGGATGCACTTGTGTGTGCAGGGCAGCTTCCTCCCTCTGGAGAGCTCTGGAGCTGGGCAAGCCCCAGGCAGTGCTGGGATGAGAGGCTGGGACACAGAAAACCTTGCTGGGAGCAGAATGGGACCCAGGGTGCCTTTAGGGCTCCTGTCAGGGGCAGCTCGGGGATTTTTTCCCTTGTTGGGGCTGTCCTTCCTGCCTCCCAGCAGGGCTGGCATGGCATCCATGTGTGTGCACAGCCATTCAGCAAACAGCCTGTTTGCTGCTTGCTTTAGCATTTTCCTCCCCTTCCTAACCACAACTGAGAGCACTGCTTGAGTCTCCCTTCCCCCACGTGACAAACACAAGCATCCACTGCACTCCACCAAAAACACGAATTAAAATCCCAACAGCTTTGCTGAGACATCTCAGGGAATCTGCAATGCCCCAATCCCTGGGCAGTGAGTTCCCCAAAGGGTGATGGAGAAGGAGGGAACGCTTTGGGAGGGCAGCAGGAATCTTGTGTGGGTCTCCCTGGCACTGGCACAGGGGGGCTCCTAATTGGTTTCAGCCTCTAAGCCATGGGAGAGCTCTTTATTGGCAGCATCCCAAGGGTCTCAGTTTGGGATCAGAGTCAGATAAAGGAGGGGGTGGAGGAGGATGCAGCTTGAAAGAGCCTCAGCACCCCTTTCATGCGGTGGGAGAGATGGAAAAGAGAGGAAAGCAGCTCCCTCCTCCCCCCTCTGGGCTGGGGCTGATCCTGTTTCACACTCAGGAAATCCTGGGAGCTGCTCGGGAGCCTTGGCTGCTCTGCTGAGCCCGAGGGGCAGCTCCAGAGTGCTCAGCAATAACAGCCCTGCCTGCAGTGCCCGCCTTTCCTGGCCATGGGGACAGCACAGGCACTCACCCCCGGCTTGGCAGAGTGCAGGGAAAATGGGAAAGACATTGCTTTTTGGAGAAAAACAAATCATTTTCTTTTCTCTTCTTCTTTTTTTTTTTTTTTTTAAGATAGAAAAGAAGAGGCAAACTGCCCAAACCATCAGATTTAGTCATGCTCACGAGTGTCCTACTTCCAGGTCTCCAGGGTGACATCTCTGCAAAGCTCAGCCCTTGCTAAGACCCATCCCAGCATTTTCAGCTGTTTGATGCTCCTGTGTGAGTTTTGAGCTGAGCCTTTTCAATTCCTTTTCTATGACACCAGGTTTAACACATTTTCCTCACCTTGGGAGCAGATTATCCAACACTACATGATTTCAGGATGAGTCTTTGCCCTGCTTTAGTGAGAACTGAGGCAGGTCCATAAAACTATTTCTGAGAGGGATTCCATGAAAAGTGTAATTTATAAGTGTGGGAAGGGTTTTCTTTAATGAAAGAGTGTATTTTATAATGAAAAGTGTATTTTGTAAGAGTGGGGAGGGTTTTCTTCAGTGCCCACTCTGCAGAATCCAGCTGATTCTGAAATTGAAACTGCAAGTGCACTCATGCCCAAACAGAGGAGAATTCATCACATGTGCCACACAGTAAATATAATTACTCAATGCCTTCTCAAGCAGACACTTATCCAGATGACTCCTGGGTGATGATCTGGGGGCATCAGCCACCATTTCACCAAAACACCCTGCAAGGAATGAACAGTGTCCCCCCAGCAGTGGCCAGATGGGTTCTGCTCCCAGCCACACTTAAATATCCTCTTAGCTGACTGGGCCACCTCTTGTGCCAGATTTGTACCCTCAGAGTGCAATGTGGGTCACTGCTATTAATAACTCTGCTTTATTCCATTCTCTCAGGGTGCTCCTTGGTTCCTCACACCAGCTCTGACCCACCATGGTGTCTCCTCAAGCCTGGCCCTAAGGAGGGAAGATGCTTTTGGTGAGTTTGGTGCCTGGAATTTGTGATTTTAACATCCTGCTTGACCTTCATCAGCCTCATCACTCTGAATTTACTGCCTGAGCTCTCTGAGCTTTAGTTCAGGCTGCAAATCCTAAGGCACAGTGCATAACTCTGGTGCTTGGGCCCTTGATTTGCTGACATGTGTCTTCATCTTACATCCTCCACTTCCTTTTCCCTTCTCCTCCCCCCAACCCCAGGCTTTCCACAACCACAGCAAGCCCTGCCAGTGAATTCTAGCCTTTGTCTTCACCCCAGTCAGCAGCAGCCTCCAGATAACAAAAACAATGATGCCATTTATCTTAATCACTCTCACAACACAGCAGTGACCACAGGCTCTTTGCTTTGCCTCTCAAATCAGTGACCAGCACACAGAAATACTGAGGTTCACTCCTGGTTCTCCAATAATCCACTCTGGCTCCAGCTCCTCTTTGTGCCTGAGGATCACAATTTTGGAATCCCACACCAGGCACAGACTGAGAGGGCTCCAACCATGCAGGAGCAGAGAAGGAGCCTGCACCCTCCATGGGAAACATGAAATTTGTGCAGAAAGCTCAATCCTTCTCTTCCAGCCAACTTAAAGGGGGAAAAAAGGGGTGGAGTAGATTTTCTTCCTCTCTTCCAAGCCCTGAATGTTTAGCATATGGGCCATAAAATTTCCCTAAATTGCCCAAGGGAAAATCCATGTGGTGCAGATATTGTACCAAACCAGGTCTGCAGAGAGCCATATAAATCCCAGCCTGGGAAGCTGAAGCCAGGAGTAAAATCCTTGCATAGTCCACAGACACTTCCCAGCAGCCACAGATGGTGCCAGGTAGCTGAGCATCTTCTTGCCATTTTTTATTTATTTTATTTTTACTGGGGCTTGCAGCAGCTTCTGCTGATGTTCAGAACCCTCAGTTCTACTCTGCTTAATGTCACCACTCCCATGCACTGGTCACCTCAGCCTCAGTGCAGAGGTGACATCTCCCAGGTTTCTTTTCCAGCAGGGTCTAAGTCCCAGCCCTACAGCAAACCTGCTCCTGCACTCAGCTGTCAGACTCCAAGCTCAGCAAAAACCCTCTCTTCAAATCCACTGCCTGCCAATTTTACATGGAGCAGTTCCAGACTGTGAGAGAAGCCAGTCCAAACCTCTGGCAAACACTTCTCTCAGCAATGGGAGCTGCATTTCAGCTGCTCTGCAAATTCTCTCTGCTGTGCTCCATCCCACTGCAAGAGTCACACGTCTGTGTGTCAGACACAGGGAGGTGAGAAGCTGCTGATTCTGATCCTCTTCTCTAGACTGGGACTTCTTGTAAATCCATATCCATTGGGTATGGTCATTGCAGTAAACCAGAACAGGAAAAAACAACCAAAAGGAGAATTTATTTTGCCTTCCCAGCAGGATCTCACTCACCCTCATGAGTAACTGTGACATAGCTGTTCCCTGTGAGTTTGATTTCCTGCCTCTAACAAAGCTGTTAAACCTTCTGCTTTAATTCAGCTATTTCATCTTCTGCTCAGGTCTCTGTACTGATATGAGAAAACCAAAGCACATTCAGGGAATTCTGTGTGATCCCAAAATCAGGGACAGGGACCCCATCAGTGGGGCTCCCTCTTGGGGCACATCATCAGTGCAGTGAGAAATCCAGAGGAAAAGGGAAAGGTGAGCAAAAAAAAGATCTGGGTATGAGCTGCAAAACAGGAACCCAGTAGAGCTGTTGACATCATGAAAGCCAGATGAATTCCTCACCAAAAATAATGATGAATAAAATGCCTTGAATATTTGCTCACAGAAACAGAGCTGTTTTACCCTGAATATGAATTAGGGAAATAACAGAGCACATGATTTTGTGGGGGAAGGAGTGCTGATGAAAACAGAGTCAAAATCCATGGAAAATCTGACAAACTGGCAAAGATTGGGCAGTTCCTTTGCTGGGAGAGTCCTGCAGGACATGAATTCAGCCCTGTCAGGAAAAAGACCCCAGTGCTGCCTAAGGAACAGTTCAAATCTGGTAGGAAATGCAGTCATGAAGGGACAGAGTTCACAGAGAGGAAGGAGCACTCCGAGGGAAACCGAGCTCCATTTCTTTGGTGTTTGCATCAGAACCACCCCATTGCAGCACCAGGGGCCACTCCAAGTGCCTGGGCCGGTCCTTGCTGTGGGTCTGGTGACCAAAGTGCAGCTGGCAGGGGACATCAGGGCTGTGGGGTGGCTCTCTGAACACATCTGCCAGCCCACCCTGGGCACAAGGTGACACATGGCTGCTGCCAAAGCAGAAGTCACTGCTCCATGAAGTTCCCAGTTGTTTAGATTGTTCTAAGGGCAGGTTTAGACTCTACCCCAGAAATCATCTCCCAAAGATGTTTATCAGCCACCTGCAATGGGAAATTCTGTGCCATTCTTCCCCCATTAGATCTGTCCTTGGCATGGAGAGGAGCCCATGGGTAGGAGGTGGGATTGTGCCTCTCCTGTCTCCATTCCACAGCAGTCTCACACAGCAGGGCTTAGCTAGACCCATTTTTACAGATAAATACTTGTTCCCCATCCTGGCCTTACTTCTCATCTGCTCCCAGCTGAACCAGGCTGCAGGCTGGAGCCAACATTTCCTGCTGAGTTAAGGAGGAAAGGATGGAAAAATAAATGGCTGTGGGGAAAAAAAATAGCTCCTGATAGTTCCTTAAATGGATTTGTGTACAATCCAAAAGAAATACAATAAACTCAAAACTCATTTTCCAACAACATTAAAGAGCTAATGAGCATAGGTCCAAGTAGGGCCAGAAGACCTGGCTCCCATCTTGCACAGATCAGAAGAACTACAGCTATTTGTAGCAGATGAGATCCACCCCTGTCATTTTACAGTTATTACAGCTAAAAATCAATTGTTCTTTCTTCCTGAGAGGTTTTCTGGCAACCTCCTGCACTCACTATCAGCGCTCCAGAGCCACCTCCCCATGGATTTCACAGCACCTGCTCCTCCTTCCAAGGCAGGAACACAAAATTTGCCAGGGCAGCCCAGTTCCTCCCTCTGCTCTGTAATAGTTCACAGCCCATAATCCCCTCCTAACCAGTTCATGTCCCTGTGTGTCAGGCATCATTTTCCTGATGGCAGGTACTTCTGGGAGCCCAATAACCATCCCTGGTGAGATCCTCTCTGTCCCAGGGCTGGCAGGAGGTGCCTGAGCTGACTGGCTCTCCCTTGGCCTCACAGGAACAGCAGCATTTATTGGTGTTTGCTGAGCCCTGAGCAGAGCTTAGCCCAGCTCACCAATACAGCACAGGGTATAAAACAGGAATCTCCTCACACTTGGGTGTTAAATAAAGACCCACAGGTGCTTTGGCAAGTAGTACAAGATTGTGAGAGCCCTTCAGGGTTTGCTGAGGTCTTCTCAGAGTGAAGAGTGCTCTTCTGGAACCCCAAACTGTCCCTTGTGCAGCTCAAAAATCCTCCTTGTGCCACCCTTCCACAGGGTGAGTGCACCTGAGGGCCCAACTGCACCCACTCAGGGTTTGCAGACCAAAAACCTCCCACCTCAGGGCACTGCTTATTCCAAATGATGAACCAACACTGGCTCAGATTTGGAGTTTATCATTACAGAAATTAAAAAAAAAAGTATATTTTTCTATGTTTAACTCACATTTCAAATAATCTCTGTAAAAAACAGAACACTGAGAATGTCCTTGAAGGTCAAGGGAGCTGCTAAGAGTGAAATAGCTCTGGGATAAATTCCCTCCCTTAAATTTCAGCTGGACTTTCTTGTCCTTGTTTATTCTGACAGATTACCTGCAAGGTCACAGGCATAAAAAGAAGAAAATGGTTCTGCTTTATCTCACTGCACTCAGAGGGATTCAGTTGCATATCAAGAACTATTCAAAATACTTGTCAAGATAATTTCTCCTGGACAGATCACCATTGCTGTGACATTCAGAAATGCTTTGCAAGCATTTATAGACAAGGTTGCTCAGTAAAAGTGTATCAAGCACCAGTTGTATTGTTTTTATATTTTAGTACAGACTAATTGGAATATGAAAGCTTTTAAGTAACAGCCAAGAGTGGTTAATGCTCCACCAGATTATTAACTTGTACAGACTACTAATCAAAGATGAAACAAGTGAAATTGCAAATTATATGTAACAGACCTAGGGACAGATCTGAGCACAGTGCTCAGGAATGCTATTCAACTCAACAGGAATACATTGTCTAAACAGATTTTAAAGAAAATCTTGGGCTTAGTGACTCACATAAGAGTCATTCATTAGTACTCTATAATTTCATCTTCAGCTACAATTACGCAGTTTCAGCTGCTTCCCATGAGCAGAAACTTGCTTTCCTGTCTCTCAGGTGTCATTCTGGAAGTTTCTTTGGAGAACAGGCCCCTCTGAGTCGTCATTCTGAAACATTCAGCACCAGAGTTTATCCTCTGGAAGGACAGGGATGTATTATCTTCATTCTTCCTATCTAAATGTAATCTTCTGTATCATATAAACTACCAAAGAGTCGAGGGGGCTTCATTCTCACCCTTCCAGTGTCCTGTTGGGAGGTTTCTTTACACTGGCAAGAGCTCAGTTATTGAGGGAGATTAATTTAATCATCAGCCTGTTATCCAAGAGCATAAACAAAACCATTTCTCATGCTCTGGTGAGCTGGTTCTATGTCTCAATGGAGGAGCTAATTTTGCTCCAAATACTCCTCCAGAAGAAACATTCCAAACATCAGCATCCTCTCCATCACAGCCAGGTCTCAGCTGTGCCTCCCAGAGTCACTTCTCTCCTGGCTGTTGTTTGTTCTCACTTGGACTGAGCACATTTCTCTTTCCCCTGCTACGCCCAAGGCCAAACAAAGCCTGTTCACATCTAGTTAGCCATTAAGAGCTGTTAGTTAATTGGTGCCACGGGGACTTCAGACTTTGGGTGATTAGCTCCACAAACCCACCGTGCAAAGGCAAAAGGCCTCTGGAGAAGTTTAAACAAGGGTGTGGGTTTTCCTGTTTAATTTTACCTGCTGAACTGAATACTGCTGATGATCATTCAATAGTGAGTTATTTCCATAGCAAGGAAGGGGATGGGACACATCTCAGTGGTGGCAAGGAGGGGAGTGCAGAAATTCCCTCCTCATGAAATAGCTAAAGCAGCCTTAAGCTCAAAAGATGCTTCTTTATGCCTGAGTGCTCAAAGGGCAGATGTTAAGCCTTCCTAGGATGAAGACAGGCAATAGGAAACTGTCTTCTTTTTAAAGGATTAACTCCTAAGTTGGAGGATGAGCCAACCCTTCCCTCTCTCTCCCTCCTGCTGCTGTTGGTACAGAGAACAGCAATGGGAGCTGCTGGTTAGGAGGAAAAGGAAGAGCTTACCTGTACTACTTCCTTGACCAGAGTCTTGTCAGTCCCAGTTTTGGCTCTCTGCAGGCCACTGACATCCTCTCCAATCCAGGTGATGAGGGCAAACTTGACTCTCTTGCTCATGGCATCGCCGGTGGTGAATCGGACAAAGCCGAACAATCGCACATCGTCTGCAATGAGGCAAAAAAGGAACCAAAGGATTAAAACCAGCAACATCCCTGCATTCCCCTCTTCAGGGTGAGCCTACAGCTCCCAAACACCAAGGCAAGGCACTGATCCCGTGTTTCCAAGTGCCAGCATTTGGGAATCAGGGGGCAGGACAGGGCTCTGCACATATGCCCTGTGCTTGCAAGGTGTGCTTTGCTCATGTGGGCTCTGCCCTTTCTGGGTTCTCTGAGTTCCTGGGAGGAAACTGGCTGTGCTGGACACCCCACACCACAGTGGAAATGGCTAAAATACAGTCAGCAGGCAGATCAAGAGCACAGTTACACATTGAGCCAAATGATTCATCTGCAGGTCTGGTGAAGAAGGGAAGACAGTGATATCCTGGTGTCTCCTTCTTACAGAATAGCAGGATTAGGGTCACACTGTATAACATTGCCAGAAACCATTACCATATCCTCATGTCTCTTTCTTACAGAATAGCAGGATTAGGGTCACACTTTATAACATTACCAGAAACTGGCCATTGTGCAAGTGTGAGCTTTCTCCTTCCTTCCATCCATTTCTGGCTCACTTGTAGTGTAGTATGAGTTTACAAGAAGGAGGGGAGAGGAAGGAGGAAAAGAAAAATCTGCAATGACTTGCCCAGGTGTTCTATTCCTTCCAAAGCCCTGGAGGGAAAAGCCCTGGACTTTAGAGCTGTGCTGATCCCTGTTTCACAGCTGGCTCGTGCTCCATCACACCAGACTGATTTAGCCTGGCCATATGTGTGACAACCTTGCAGACTCTTATCTCAGAGAGCTCCTTCCTCCATCTCCTGTGACTCATGGAGCCGTTGGAAGCTTCCTGATCAGGAGTAAGCACCATCCCCCTGCATCCCCAGGCTCCAAGGGATGCTGGAACCTTCCACCAGGAGGGCAGAAAGCAGAGCAGATGGACACTTGTGCAATTGTGGGATATTCCTAATAATCAATATTTCAATCTTCATCTCTCAGAGGTCACTTAAGGCCTTTAAAGGAGGTGACTCAAAGCAGAAGAACAAACCTGCTGTTAGAGAAGACTCCTGGTAATCCTGGCACACTTGTTGTGGCCAGTTCAATGTGCCTTAGAGGGATTTGCTGGGCTGACTAATTGCCAGGTGAAAATGTAGGCTCCAGGTGCAGGAATGACTGCCAACATCCCCAGCAGACTCTGTGAGCAGCCAGGACAGCCCCAGGAGCTCTGGAGACAGGGGAGAAGCAGCTCTAAATTGCTCATCCCCTAAAAATAAGCTGCTAGAAATCAATGCTAAAAAGAATTTGGATATTCTCTGCAAGCTAACATATCTCAGAGCTTCTTTAACACTTTGATTTGCCGAAGCGTGGACAAATACAAATTCTCCTTGATAAAAGAGAAGACTTTTTTAAGTCTGAAAAAAATCCACCTCTGCTCTCCCTGTTTTATTCTCTTTGTTCTTTTTAATTTTTTTGTTACCGACTGAGTAATACTGGGCAAACTGGAAAATGGATGTAGGGGGGTGTGTGAGCCAGTACAATGTTCAAAACAAACTCCTCTGAAGATTTCAAAATAGAAACAAAAAGAAAGATCTTATTCAGGGGAAAAATCCAGATGGATCTTTGGAAGGAGAGAGTCGTGTATCAACAATGCAGGCAAACAAAACTTCTCTCTCAGCTGCCCTGCTGCTGGTGAGTGTAGGAAATGCACGTGGGGGCTGCTGGTTCTGACAGCAAATCCTCTTCCCAAGATTGATTAGAGCCATAAATGAAGCGACAGCCAGGAAATACCCAAGGTGAAGAGAGACAGTAAATCCCCTAATGTTACAATTAACAGCTCCAGGAGCCAGCCTTGCTTCCCCTGCTCTGACAGCAAAGGAGGCCACACTGCCCAGAGCTGTCCTGTGCCTCCTCTGGGAACAGCCCTGGCAGTCCCACAGTGCTGGGAGCTCCTGCACTGCAGTGGTGTCACACCCTTCCCATGGAGCCCTCTGTCCCCACCTTGGGTTTTCATCCCTGTCACAGAGCCTGAACACTGCAATGTGCCCCTTTGTGATAAAGATAGTGGAAAAAAGATAATGAATGTGAAAAACCAGTGCTTTTTCATAGCAGCACAGAGAGGGAGCTCCAGGGATGCCCCATCCAAGTGTCCAAGGCCAGGTTGGAAGGGGCTTGGAGCAGCCTGGGATAGTGGAAGGTTTCCCTGCTTATGATGGGGCTGGAATGACATGATCTTTAAGGCCTCTTCCAGCACAAACCATTCTGGGATTCTGTGAATTTCCCAGTCAGAATAACTTCCCTTTGACATTATCCCACAGCTCACTGGCAGCAGCAGGATTTGCTTCTCAGCAGAACTCTCAGTGCTTGCCCATCCTGGCTGAAGAGAGCCAAATGCAGCAATTCCAGCTTTCATCCATGAGATCACCTGAGCATGAACAACCCTTTACTTCACCATGTCCTGTAAGTTTAATGAGCACCTGAGGTTGGACTGGGGCTCTGAGTCACCTTTAGACAGATTTTCCTGGGGCTGCCTCACTTGTGGGGGCTTGAAGGGGTCACACCCAGCTGGGTCCTGTCTCCTCCTGTCTCCCCATGGAGTTTAAACCCCACTGGAGGCAGAGCAGGCTCTTTAGCACAAACAGGATATTTAGCACAAACGTGATGCCTTAGCTGCTGCACACAAAGCCAGAGGGAATGTGAATTGGAGCCCTGAGCAATTAACATGTCTCAGTTCCTAAAAGGGCATCAGGGACGGATGGAGAGGTTTTTAGCACTGGCTCAGCCTGGGTATAAGCCTCTCCAAGTGCAGGTCAGAATCCCCGAGCAGAAGTGGCTGAGTTTCACAATTAGTCTGAAGCGTGTTCGGAGTGATAAGGGGATCAAAACGCAAGTTCTTCCCTAGTCCCAGATTTCCTCTTTCACAGTTCATCAGTTCTGCCCTGCCACATCAGCTCCCCACGCTGGAAGTCATCAATGCCATCAGTGCCAATTCCCTGAGAAATCTCAAGGCATTAACATCCAGCAGCCCCTGCTCACACAAAAGCACTCACGGTGGTTTTAGGAATTTGCTGGGAGTGAGGGGAGCAGAACAAATCAGAGAGAGGCAGCACAGATTGCCCCTGAAGGAGGAAATCCTGCCCAGAGCTGTGCCACCCCTTCCCAGCCACTGAGACATGAATTTCAGGGCAGAGAGAAGTGAATAACTGGTCTGGGGAGAACAGAAATAGCAGCTTTATTTGAGATCACACAGGATCCAAACAGCAGAAATTAACAATGTTTATTCAATTAATACCACGGCTCCCTTCACCATGGCTGGACAAACAATGAGCAGCACAATGAATGCCTTAACCAGCATCACTTGGTATTTCTCTCCAAACTCTTTATTTATCACTAAGACAGGATTTTCCAAATATTCTGCTTAAGCTGCCCTTGGCTGTCAACAAAGCTTGATGCCAAACTACAGAGATTTCCTTCATGGTATCCTTCCCTTTTTCTACATCCACTCAAGTGCTTTGGTTCAGCTGTGCTGAAAAATTCCCCCTTAGATTAAAATGCAGTGAGTCATCAGTAAAAGATAATAGCTGCAGGAAAGAAATTCACTGCCAAACCATCAGGATTCTGAGGGCTCTGAGTGGCCAGGCCAGAGATTTGCCTCAATAAAAACTCTGCTCCATGATAAAACCCCTGCTCCATGATAAAACCCCTGCTCCCAGCTTCACCTGCCGGCTGAATCAAGGTCACAGGCAGCCAGGCAGGTGATGGACTGACCTGCTTTTGTCTTCTGTCCAACATGAATTACTACAGCACATGACAGGTTCCATAAAGATTTAATTTGTTTGCTTCAATTGGATTAATATTAGATTAATTTGTCAATTTTCCACTTCTTCAGTCAGCTCCATGGTCACATGGCTACAAGTGCAGACAGAAATGTTCCTTCCCTCTTCCTACACTGTTTTTTCCCTCTTAAACCCTGCACTGAGCCCCCAGCTCTCGTGCAGGGCTGCCTTGCTCTACCCCAAAGTGTTCATTTAATCATCTCAGACCCCACCAGAGGGCCTTGCTGGGACACCAAACTTCCTCCAGGTGACTCGGGGTGGCCCATGTGAGTGCAGGGACACAAGTGCAAGGGAACAGTGACCCCATAGTGGCTGCTCTACTCCAGGGGGTGCTGCTACCCCAGTGACAGTCATAGCTCCTCTCCTGACCTGGGTGGATGCTGAGGGCAGAGTGGGAGCAGAAGGCAACCCAGCTCTTCCCTGAAGGAAGGAATGGTTGGCCAGAAGGGCCAGGCAGGCCCCAAAACAAAGGGCAGGCAAAAGGTACAAAGCTCTTCTTTCCCTGCTCGTGTGCCCACCACGGGATGGCAAAGGCAGACCCACAGCCATGATATTTAATTAAACACCACAAAACCAAGAGCTACCATCAGTTACCATCACAATACCAAAGAGCTATCAAGAGTTACCACAAAACCAAGAGCTACCATCAGTTACCACCACAAACCAAGTTACCATCAGTTACCATCACAAAACTAAAGAGTCAAAAAACCAGGTTACCATCAGTTATTACCAAAAAACCAAGAGGTACCATCAGTTACCATCACAAAACCAAAGAGTTGCCAAGAGTTACCAAAAAACCCAAGAATTACCAAGAGTTATCACAAAACCAAGAGCTACCATCAGTTACCATCACGAAACCAAGGAGTTACCAAGAGTTACCAAAAAAACCAAGAGTTACCATCACTGCAGGCCCTGACCTGATTACTCCCTGACCTGGTCACTCCCACAAAAATCAGTGAGAATATTCCCTAAAGCCACACCCGGGCTAAGCCTGGGCTGCAGCTGGCAGCCAGGAGATCTCTGTGACCCTGCCAAGAGCACGTCCACACAGGCAGGGAGGGCACAGGGGCAGGGTGACAAACTCCATAAGCCACCCATGGCCCCAGGTCTTCCCTGACATAGCCAGTAAGGGAAAGCAGGAGAGATGAACGCTGAGGAGGAAAAACAAAAGCAGTAGGAGATTGATTTACAAGGCCCATTTTAGCAACTTAAGATGCAGCCAAATGCAGATAAGCACCTATCTCATTATATGTCCTCGTGTGTTTTTACAAATCTTTCCTACAACCTCAGGTGCCAACGTTACCTTGGTGATGTCTCAACTCACAGCTCCTTCCTTTTTAATGTGCAGCCCAGGCTTTCTGGGACAATTGATCTAACCCCAAAAAACTTGTATTTTTATTAGGAGCCAATTTTATTTCTATTTTCTAATATTTTATATCAACCCCAAATGATTTTATAGGGTATTTATTTTCTGTTCTTCTAAAGATTTTCTGTTCTTCCTGCTGCTGAATGCCCAGTGTGGTTTTGGGCTGATCTTTTCAGACACATGAATAACTATCCCATTTCATGCTGTCATTGCAATTATTTATCTGCACTGAGGCTTTCCAAATAAAAGGCTCATTATTTCTTTTGTCAGAGATGCATTGAAAACAGCTGTTCACATATGGCATGGGGCGGAGGTGGGGGGAAATCCAGCCTTCTGACCACTCCATCTTTTTAATGGCAGAATACACGCTAAAAAAATTAAATGAAACCACAGACAGAGCCAATGTGATGCTCTGCTGCTTCATAACAGAGACACTGAGGCAATGTCCAGGGCAGTCAGGTACAACAGACACACACAAAAGTTTCACAGGATGCCATTTCAGTGGTAACTCATTCTGTTCTTCTCAGCAACAGCATCATCAGCCCAGTTATAAGACTTTGAAATTAAAAACATCCCAAAAAAATCCTAAGAGCTGTCACATCCTTCCATACAATAACCTTCAACTCTTATCTATTTCTGGCCTCAAATGCACCAGCTCAGCTGTTTTTGTTTTTTTTTTTTCAAAGTGTCCTGATGGCACGTAGTGCTAACCACCAAATTAATGCTTCCTCTGGAGCCAGGCCATCTGCAGAGCAAGAGATGGAACTGGGGAGTAAAATGGATCAGAAACCTTGAATCAAGTACTTGTTTAATGCAGAGGTAATCTGTGATGTTAAACCCAAACAGTCTCAGCCAGCAGGCACGGGGTGTCCGCAGCGGGTGTTCAGTGGCCCTGACACAGTGAATGCCCTCAGCTCTGTGTCCTGACTCTGTGGGTCAGACCAGGGCCAGCACAGGCAGGACATTGGCCATTAGACTGGCCCTTAGGCAGGACACTGGCCCTTAGGCAGGACTGCAGGAGGAAGAGCCCCCAGCAGCCACCTCCGAATCACCCAAGGATGTGCCAGTGGCTTAAACCAACCTCCTTGGCCTAAACCAACCTCCATGGCCTAAACCAACCTCTTTGGCCTAAACCAACCTCCTTGGCCTAAACCAACCTCCTTGGCCCAAACCAACCTCTTTGGCCTAAACCAACCTCCTTGGCCCAAACCAACCTCCATGGCCTAAACCAGCCTCCTTGGCCTAAACCAACCTCCATGGCCTAAACCAGCCTCCTTGGCTTAAACCAACCTCCATGGCCCAAACCAACCTCCATGGCCTAAACCAACCTCCTTGGCTTTGCTTTGGTTTAGGCTGGAGGAGAGGTCTCACACACTGGGGCTGCCTTTGGGGGCCAGGGAAGATGGATGTCTGTCTCTAAAGCAGGGTCTGCTGCCTCCCAGGCAGTGTTGGAGTTGTCTGAGACAAACAGACCTTGACAGGGACAGCACTACAGTGATTGACACACAGAAGTTCAGGGTCAGGCTGTGTTTGCAGCATCACCCCAGGACCCTGAACAAGAGGGCACTGAAGGAGCTCTTCTTTCCATGTTTCCTTCCTCTAGGAGTGGCAGCTGCTGTCCCCAAATGGGGATGGGGGAAATGTGATCATTTAATGATGCTGTTTGTACAACCTTGCTGTTCCTGCACAAAGCTTAGTGAAGATGGAAAGAGGAAAAGGCCCCCATGCCAGGATCTGTAGGATGCAGGTCTGATGTGGGGGGTGTATCTGAGAGCACAGCAGAGGACAGAACCCACAGCAGGGACAGCAGCAGCTCCTGGCTCAGGGCATGGGCCTCCCTGCCCCAGCTCAGCACCTGTGGCACCCCAGCAGCCCCAGAGCAGGGCTGGAGGTGTGCAGAGCTGATTTGTGACACGGCCTCCCTCAGCTGCTACTTCCTCTAAAAGAAGCAATTTCAGTTTCTCTCCTTTTTCTCTCCTTTCCCTTTGTCCCCAGCCACTCTGGTTCCCCAAGCAGGTTTGCAGAGGCAGTGATGGGCATGGAAAGGGTTATGGATAGGGGGGGAAAAAGCAAAAGTAGGGGCTGTTACCAACAGCCCCCTGACATCTGTCACTGTACAAGGCAGGACATGCACCACAGGCAAAGAGATTCCAAAGTGGCACAAAAGCCCCTCCAGGTCCCAGAGCCACAGGAGGCAGCACTCAGCGACCCCGCCCAGCAGGGGAGCAATGGGTACC